ACTTTTTATAGCACTTCTCTTGGATTTTTATCATATGCTTTCTCTAAATCAATGAATTTCTTATGAAGATCCTCCTTATTCTCTCTATGCTTCTCCATCAAACATCTCAATAAATGAATAGCTTCCATAGTAGACCTACCCGACATGAATCAAATTGATTTTGGGAAACATTAGTATTATGTTGTAACCTATGCTTCATAACTCTCTCCCAAAGTTTTAAAGTATGACACATGAACTTAATTCCTCTATAATTCACACAATCTTGCGCATTACCTTTATTCTTAAAAAAAGAATCAACACATTCATTCTCCACTCATCTGGCATCTTTTCAGTCTTCTAAATAATATTGAAAGATTTAGTAAGCCAAGAAACTCCATCTCCTAGGCATTCCACCCCTCTATTGGAATATCATCAGGTCCAACAGCTTTTCCACTCTTCATTTTCTTTAAAGCCTCTCCAACTTCGGTTTTATTAGTACGCCGATAAATAAAATCTTTATTTTCATTTAGGATAAATCTTTGTTTAGGATATTAGGATCACTAAAGTCAATCGTATTCTCACAATCTTCATTGAAAGTTTAGCAAAATATCTCATCTACCTTTGTTAAATATCTTCTTCAAATAAAAGTATTTTTAATTTTTATCCTTATGCACTTCACTTGCATTAAATCCTTACTACTACTATCTCTTTGTTAAACTAACTTATACATTTATCTTTCATCCTTCGTAATATCTAATTTATTATATAAATCATTAAAAGCTAAAATTTTTGCATCACATATTGCTTTCTTAGACTCCTTACAGACCTCTATATATCTTTCTCAATTATTGGTGTTTTTATATCTAAAATAATTTTTATAACAAATCTTTTATTTTTATCTTGTCTTGCACATTTTGATTCCACCACTAACTATTTTTATTATTAGTAGTTTTTTCTTTTGATACTACAAGCACTTCTTTTGCAACTTTCTTAATATCACTAGTTACTTTTTCCTACTTAACATCGGCTTTCTCATGCACAAGACAAAATTTTAAGATCTAAATTTTTACTCTAAAAATGATTTTTATTAGTATTTTTTAAAGCCCCATCTAATCTTAGAATAATATTTTACTTTATGTTTTATATTCTACCCCTTCATCTTAATGTCCTAAACTATATAAACTTTCACTAGAAATAACTTTACAATCTTTATAAGATAAACGATCTCTTTTCTTATAAGAAACTAATAAATATGAGTTTTAGTATATTCATTTTTATAATTGATTAGATGTTAATCTCTTTTTTTAAATAAGGAATTAGCAATTTCGAAGTCATAAGTTATAAAAAAATCTAATACAATCTTAACACCTTCATTAGTCACTCCAAACCCATAGTCACCATGAATGTTTTTAAAATCATCTAGCTCTCTACCAACATGTCCATTTAAATCTCCTCCAATAAAAACTTTTTCTTCAAGAAATATCTTTTGTATTAATTCTTTTAAGTCATTCCAAAATTTTAATTTTGAACACATATCCAAATCTTCTTGGGGAGCATAAGCATTTATAATATTAATAATCATAGTATCAACAATAATTTTTACGGCTATTATTCTATCTCCAATTCATTTAATTTTTACAACATTATCCTTCAAACTCTTATCTATAATCACATATACACCATTTCTAGTACGACTTTTACCAGAATACCATAGTTTAAATCCTAAACAATCAATCTTTTTAGCCTTCTCTCCAACTCATTTAGTTTCATTAATGCATAGATTATTTATCTTCTTATAAATCATATATATATTAATTCCATTAATTTATCTGTAAGGGAACCTCTATTTCAAAATCCTATTCTAATTTCAGTTTCATGAACTAGATGCTTGCCCACATACGTCCATGATATGGGAACTCTTACCTATTTAATACTATACCCAAGTGCCGGTGCAACGGCCCTTGTATACTTCTCATTTTATTCAGGCTATACAGCATGTCGCTTTCAAGAAGCACCCTAGCATTAATACAATGTATTAAAGGATTCTTATTGGAGTTTATGTTGGTGTATGTGGTAACTTGAAAATATGAAGGAAACTTCAGGTTTGAGAAGGTAGGTTCAATACTGTCAATCATTTTCCGTGAATCTAAATACTGAAACAACAGATTTGGTGAAATTTTGGCAATGCAATGATGATCACGTGGTTATTAATAGATAATATATTGTAATCTATGTTAGGGACAAATAAGACCAAGTGAAGTTTTAAGAGATTGGAATTCAGTTGTTCCTATTCGAATAACTGTGGTCAGAGCTCCATCAACAAGTTTTATTAATAGGTATTTTTTGCACTCCAAAGATGTTAAAAAAAAAAAAGAAATGTCACCAATCTTGTGATTAGAGGCTCTAAAATCAACAATCCGCATACCTTAAATCAACAGTTTGTATTTTGGGTAGGGGTGTCAATTTCGGGTCACGGGTCGGGCTCAGGTCGAACCCGACCCGGCGGGTTGCCGGTTGACCCGCGCGACAGAGAAGGAGCTCGGGTTTCGCGAGCGCGGCAGCGGGCGACGCCGAGTGCGACAACGGGCACCGTTTTTCAAACGGGTCGGGTCCAACCCGGATTTTTCGGGTCGGGCCTGGGTCGGGTTTTCGTGTCGTGTCAAATATTGACACCCCTAATTTTGGGTATAAGTGATGGTATTTTATTGGGCATATAATAAGTTCGTATCACATTAGGAGTTGCTGAATGGCTGAGGTTTTCCTGATTATAGGTTTGATTAGTTCAAGGGAGTCTGAATAGTTGTAGTTGATAGATACATGTTGTTCTCGTCTTTCTTTAGTGTGAGGACCATGAGTCAAATTTTAATTTTACAGTTTTTCATGAAGCTTCCAGCTTGTTTCTTTGGTGTGAATTGATTTGTGACAAGTCACATTGGGGCCTTCAGTTCTTCTGTGTGGAGTCATTTAATGAAGATGTCTGAAACTCAAGAGCCATAAGAGTTGACCCTTCTCCAATTGCTAATAGTTATGATGGCTCGATCATCACCTTATACTTTCCTCCAATCAAACATCATCAAAGGTCTACAAATATTCAATAGAGGTTTTGTGCCTAAAATTCTTCCTCAAACCTCATCAAGATCATTTGTTTAATCCCATGAGAAATTTAACCATGTTTTTTCTTAATGTTTGATTTATGTATATAGTGCTTCAATACGAAAGCACTTCCAATTGGGATTCTCAAATAGAGTACCTTGTCGGTTCATGAAAGATTTTTCAACTTAGAACAATTTTTATATGTTTTCAGAACTTGAGTAAGTTTTTCTGACAACTTCCCAAATCTCATTGGCAGTTTAGTATAGTAAGAACTTTTCACCTATCTTGATGGTCATAGAGTTGATAAACCATGAAATTATCATATTGCTCTCTAATTTTCGGATTTTTAACATTGGATCTCATCTTTATCTAGAGTCGGAATTGATCTCTATCTTTGTCTCTTGCACAAATGATCATCATCATGGATTGTGACCATTTTAGGTAGTTGTGGCCATTCAGCTTGTAACCATTTATTGTAATTAGATTGTTTTCTGCTCTATTAGTGGATCTATGGATGAGAACATTTGGATTAGAGGATATTTCATACATGGAGGATTGTCCTCTTATGCTATTTCATATTTTTAGTCAAATTAATGGTTAGAATATTGGATAGAGCAACCCAATCTCTGTAACATAAGAAAATCGAGACACAAGGATGTAGGAGACACTAGTTTGTCATCTTATTCCTCTTCAAAAACCGGTACATACATAAATAGAGTTTTGAAAAATAATACAATGTAAGGAAACATACTAATACAATTTCAAATTTTGAATTCCTATTAACTTTGTTACAAATAGGGATTGAAAATAGGTAATTAAAGGACCAAAAGCTGGTACAATTGAAACTATAACTACATGAAATGTTAACGTTTTTTTCGTGGGTTTTGAAAAATGCATTTTAATATGATTCACGTTCTTTAATTCCAGGGAAGAAAGAAACAAATATTTTCCAGTACATTATGTTGCGTTAAATTTTTTTGTTTGCTGAATAAATTTTCACTTATATTGGTCCCCTGATTCAATGGAATAAAGGTTAATATTTATGGTTCGATTTAGTCATTTGGGCATTCCACCTTGGGTTTCTCATTTATTTATGTTGGCTGCATTTTAAGGGGTTGTTTGTTTGGATATTTTTAAAGTACAAGGATCTTAGAAATGGAAACTAATTAGAATGCATGCATCTTAAAATCGTTTAGTTATTTGGTTGGATGCGAAATAAATACTTTGAATTGTTTTAGTCTTGTTTAGATATGCTTCAAATACATGAAATCTCTCTCTCTCTCTCTCATCCGTGGGCTCATGCATGGTGACCGCTAATGGGAGTGGAAATATGAAAGGTTGTCGATGATGGGAGGGCTTGGGAGAGGACGGTGTTGGGAAAATGTTGGGATGGGTGTGACATGAGGGCTTTGGAGTGGTCGAGAGCGATGGGAGGTGCTCGGGGTAAGTCACTTGTGATAGGAGGGCTCATTGGATGTCATCAATGGCGGAGATGGGGACATCTTTGCTAGGCAGTGAAAGGCTGGTGCCATGTGGATGGACTTGGGGGAGGTTGAGGCCGCATGAGAGAGGCTCATTTGAGGCCACCAATGATAGAAGTGGCTTGAGGCAATTAGCCGACAATGGAGACAAAAATAGGCGATAGGAGACGTTGGGGAAGGCATGTGATTTGAAAATCGACTGATTTTGCGGATTTTCAAATATAAGAAAAATGGAAGTGATTGGGGGTATTTCTATCACCTTAAATTTTGCTTCCTTTTTTTTTTTGCTTTGAACTAAACACTAGAAAAGTTAAAATGTAGATAGATGGAATACAATACATTCCTAATGCTTCAATTCTTCTCAAACTAAATCTATATTATACTGCCTACAAGCACTCTTATTTTATGATTGTTTTTCTACTTATATGATAATCTTTATCATTGCAGGATGTATTCAATCTACTTCCTAACCTAAATGTGAATGAATTGATCAAGGCATTTGCTGGTATTACTGTTAATCTACTCATAAGTCAAAAGATTGTAATTGTTGATTTTATTCAATTTTATTTGCTATGCAGTTTTAGTTAATTGATCGCTGAAATGCCTTTATGAGCTTCTGACTTGACGCAATCCTTAATTTTCTTTTACAGTCAAAACAAATGATATGATGCTGGTTATTTACCTTTCCTCTCTTATCCGAAGCGTCATTGCACTTCACAACCTGATCAGCAATAAAGTAATGTTTTTTTTTTCTTTTGATCTTAGTTTTTCATCTTGCTTATTTTTCTACTCGAATTGGTGATCTCTTGAACTGTTTCTCCTTACAAAAATGGAGGGGTAGGTTATAATGAATTAGAAATTTGATAATATAATTGTCAAAATCTCAGTCATCCCTTGGCATTTGATCCCACGGTCAGGATGAGAATCCGTGGGAGGCTCACCTGGATCACGCCAATATCCTTCTATATTTGGGTAGCTGAATTAGGAAGGATTATATTGAGGCAATTATGTATCAATTAGAAGTTGTTTATTTCTTTATTAATACATATTGTATAGATCTATAAATAGGGATAATTTTGTATAATAAGTAGAAGGTATTTTTACCTTTCTCAAATTCTATGAATTCTAACAATAATTATATTTTATTAACATAAAAAGAAGCCCAATAACCTTATCATCCACCCTGATCCTTGTCCAAACCTAATCATGTGCATACGAATTATTAGGGGCGTAAACTAGTCGAGTCGAGCACGAGCCCGGGGGTGTTTGAGCTCGACTCGTGAGTCAAATATTGAGCTAGAACTCGAGCCGAGATTTATCAAGCTCGAACTCGACTCGTGTGCTCGGTAAGCTCGGCTCGAGAGTCGGCTCCACTCACACCCCTACGTACTATATATCTGATGCAGATAGACACATGGGTATGCATCACTCAAACTCATCTATTTTTACGTATTTTGACTTGTTAAAGCGCATTTATTTTCGAACTTAATTGAGATGTTATTTATTTATTTATTCAATTTTGTCTGAATTTTATTATATCCTACGGCAGATGCTAAACAAGGAACATGAGAAAGCTGAAGACGCCAAACCTGTGGCTGTACCAAGTGCCGCAGGAAGCTAGGATTTATCTTTGGTAGATGGCTACATTTTCATTTGCGAGAAGTTTCAGTGACATGGAGATGAAGAGGCGTTGTCCGTCTGAGCGTTTTGATTTGAAAAAACAACCTAAGATCTTCAGTGATGGATACGAGAAGTTTATCTTGGCATTCATTTTTTTTTATATCTCACTAATGTTTTTATTTCTTATTACATTGCTATTTCTTCTCTATTTAACTTGTTTTATTGAAGTTCAGTAGCTATATATTCTCGTTCTTCAAGCACGTACGATGAGAATGACTTATATTACCTGGTAAACAAATAAATACCTTGCAATCGAAACTTGAATGGAACAAATTAGAAATAAATCAAAAAGATAATCTTCTGTTTGATTCAATATCTTCATTAGGGTACATGTGATGTTGATGTCACACATGTCAAAAAGTTGTAAAGGTGGCTAAATGAAGCTCACAGAGACTTCCTATGAGAGGAGTTTATAAACTCAATACAGTCTTCCAAAGCTTCAGAATGATGAGAATCTCTTGGCGGAATGAAGTGAATTGGAATCGGATCTGCAGGGCCATTTCTGCTGCAGGAAGTCCGCTTAGTTGAGAACAAGCTAAAGGTTCTGGCTACATTGGCTTTAATGTGGCGTAGAAGCCTTGCAGGTGATGACCTGTAGCGATTTGGAGCCTTACCTTCATCAATGTAGGACCGCAGGAACTTTGGAGCTTTAGGGTCGTAGGTATTGTGAGGGCTGAACCCCACTCTCTTGCTTCCATTTCTAAGAATTGTTGGCATCTTGGAGAGAAATTTAGATTAGCTTAGCAGGCATTGGAAGGAAGCTGGTGAGGTAAATATAGAAGGAAAACAAAGAAGGCGGAGAGAGAGAAAAGATGGCTTTCATGATTATGGTAGGTGTGGGAGGAGACATATTTCCTTTAACTGGCCAGAATCAGAATCACAATGAGTAAGTACATCAAGACCAGCTTTAGATAGCGTTGAAGGCTAAATCGGCTCACATATGACTGAAATTTTATGTTGGGGGGTTGACCGAAAGAATCTCCGACACTGAAGCAATCGAGAAAGCAGAGCTTGGGTGTTCAGAGAGCCGGGAAAGAGACTAAAGGAGACAGAGAGAGATATAAAGCTTGCGCCCGCGATGCTTTCGAGGTTGTTTTATGTTCTCTGGGTTTTGGAAATTGCAACATTCATCTTCTCTTTTCGTGAGAGCTATTGAATGTCATGAGCGATACATTTTAAATGTGCTCGCTGGTTTTTTATTTATTTATTGAGAAGCTTGATTGGTGCCGATCAAATTTAGGATATGGCAGGATTTTGCCAACATTTGTTCCTTATTATTATAATTATTTGACGAAGGAAGACCTGCAATGCTTTATGGTGCCGAATCTTGGCCATTAAAAGAGAAGCATAATACTAAGTTAAGTGTTGCAGAGATGAGGATGCTCAGTTGGATTAGCAGCTTTGCTCTTAGAGATAGGATATGAAATGAGCATATACGTGAAAAGGTTGGAGTAGTTCCATTGGAAGATAAGATTAGTGAAATGAGCATATGCCTTAGATAGTTTGGTCACATTAACCGGAGGCCTTCTAATGACCTGGTTAGGAAAGTAGAGGTATTAGATTTGTCTTATGTTAAGAAAGGAAGATGTAGACCTAAAAAGACTTGGGTAGAAAATATTAGAAATGATCTTTCTTTATTAGGTTTAAATGAGAATTTGACTTTAATAGGACAGAATGGAGAAAAATGATTTATGTAGTCGAGCCGACGTAGTGGGACAAAGGCTTTATATTGTTATTGTTGTTGTGATGAATTTGAAAGGTATACTAATGTCATAGATTTTAATAAAAGCTGTAGGAGAATTTTGCTAGGAGCATCTCTTCTGGTTATCAACCAACCACTGGATTTCAAATGGATTCATGGAGCCGATCAATGCACGAATAGAAGTGGAGGCCTAACTCAAGCTAATGCTTGAATGCATAGCTTCCATCATCACAAAACTTGTTTCTTTTTGTCTTTTGGCCATCGTGCCAAAGTTCAACCAGCCTCTTCCATGAGAACTTTTATTTGGTCCGGTGTCCTGACGTAGTTCTACGTTCGGATGCCAGTAAAATAGTGCAACGTGCTCTTACTCTTTACCGCGCAGCCTGACATGTTATTGGCCTCTGGATGTAGAGCTACATCCGGTGTCCGGACCTAATAATTATTCCTTCCATGAAGGAGCCTTTTACTAATATTTTTTAGTATTTTAATTTATATATTTGAGAAAAATATAAAATGCTTGGTGGAAAAAGAGCAAATCTTTTCAAAAAATTGTTCAAATAGAAAATTTCATGTGTATTATAATAATGAACCTCAATTTCAAATAAAGGACAATTCATTTCTTCTTGGCATACTAAGCCACTAAATCCTGCGCTTAAAATAAGATTTTATTTGGTATTATGGTCTTCCATTATGTTAGGCCAAATAGTATTACACTTTATTGTAATATTTATTAAATAATATGAATATTTGGTAAATTCAGGTTAAAATTATTGCATAAACGAATGTAAAAGTTGTAGCTATTTGGTGAACATTGTTGCAGCACTAATATAAGGCTAGATATTATCTAAAATAAATATAATTTTATTTCAAGTGATTATAATGTAATATTCTAATTTAAATACTATATAGTACCTTAAATTTAAATTAAAAAGATAGTAATTTTTGGGAACTATCTAAAATATTATTTGACAAAAATTACTTTTCAATTTTCATATAACTAAACTTTTCTGATTGTTACTAAAGTAAACACCTTAATATCATGTAGAGGCTCTTAGGGCTGTCAATATTTGACACGACACGAAAACCCGATCCGAACCCGACCCGTTTTTCAAATGGGTCGGGTTCGGGTTGACCCGGTTGTCGGGTCAACCCGAAAACCCGTTTAATTTAAAAAATCCCGCGCTGCCCCGTACTTGCCCGCGAAGCTCCCCCCTACCAGCGCCGGCGCCAAGCGCGCGCTCGCACCGCCGCACCCGCATGCCTGTCCCAGATATGAATAAAAAAATAAAAAAAAAAATATTTAAAATTTTAATTTGTGTCCCCCCTAAGTAGGAATACTTAGGGTGTATGCAGTACTTGGTAAAATACTTCAATGAGTCACCACAGTTGCTTTTGTCATGATTTTATTTGAGACAATTTTATTATTATTTTTTAAAATAATTTTTAGTATAATTTTTTTTAATATCAAAATATTATTTTAAAAAATAGTAAAAAAATTATTCTGAATGAAGCCTATATAATTTGATAGAAGGAAAAAAATTATCTACAAAATATATGACAAATTAATTTGATCTCAACTGAAAGATGCTCCGAATAAAAAACATTTGAAAATTTTCAATACTGAAAATATAAAGCTAAACGGTTGTTCTATCATGAAAACAAAGAAAGATTATTAGGTTCGGTGACCGGACGTAGCTCTACGTTTGTTCACCACTGAGTTACCCGGTATTTGTTCGGTATTTGCTCGTTATTGAGTTGTCCGGTATTTGTTCGGTATTTGCTCGTTATTGCTAGGTATTGCTTGGCAATAACGAGAAATACCGCTCTGTGAAGACCAATACTCAGTAATACCGAGCAATACCGAGTAATACCTTGTTTTTCTAGAAAAAAACTCTGTATTGCTCGGTGTTACGACTCGGTATTGCTCGGTATTTGTCTTTACATAATGGTATTTCTCGTTATTGCCAAGCAAAATCGACAAATACGTGATTTTGTGCCTGCTACGTGACGCGATTTAGTGTCGGCCAAACGTAGCTCTACGTCCTTTCATCGGACCAAATAAAAGTTCGAAAACACGACATTTCTGTCACACCAATAATTGATGGTTTCATATTGTATTTCGTGTAACTAATACTTACAAAGAACATCTTTGGTATGTAGCCTGAATTGTACGGTTGTTACATATATCAAATGTATATGAGTTGTCGCCGGAATCATTAATTACTTCTTTGTGCTAATATTCTTCAGACAAGCAAAAAAAAAATGATAAATTTAATATTAGCAGTCAACTATTTAACGTAGGCTTCTATTGTGTAATGAAATATTCGCAGTAATAGAGAGAGAAATAATTTAGCATTTTATTTTTGTACGAAGATTCAACATATAAATAGATAAAAAGATAAAATACCAAAAATTTTATGTGAAAAATTCTAAAAAAGGGGAAAAACTATGGGGTCTGACCCAATTTGCAAAGAATCCAATAGTATTGTGATTGATTACAAATGATGTCCTTTATCATGGGAAAATGTCGGTTCAAATATTCATCATATAGAGAACTTTATATGGCTGAAAACATGCAATATCTTGAGAGGTGTCCTCGAGAAAATACTGTCCTGTTCATTTGGTCGATAGGACTGTAGTCATGGACAATAGTGGTCAAAGCGATCATAGTCGAAGGGTGACGGTGATCGAAAGGACTGTAGTCGGACGACGGTGGTTAGAGATATATTAGTCAGTGGGTGATGGTGGTCAGAGCGACCATAGTCGGTGGACAACGGTGGTCGGAGGACCATAGTTGGTGGACGACGGTGGTTGGAAGTATCGTAGTCGGGCGATGGTGCTTAGAGAAACATTAGTCTGCAGGCGATGGTAGTTGGAAAGGCCGTAGTCGAACAACTGTGGTTGAGGAGAATGTAGTTGGTAGGTGACGGTGGTCGGAAGAACCATAGTCGGCAGGCATCAATGATCGAAGGAGATTTGACGTTGGTAGCATCCAGAAAGAGTTCCGATAATAGTCAGAGAACGGGCGAACATTTGGCCACGATCGGTGGTTGAGAACTCCTGCAAGGTCAACATTGCATGGAGAGTGCAAGAGAGCTCTTAAGCTTTTTCCTCCTCTCCTCCCCCTTCATGTGAAGAATGATGGGCTATTTATAGTTTTTTAAGAGTGACATCATCAATAAATATAAATAAAATCAAGGGCATGTTAGGAGTGTTCCATTGGACGACCTATACTAATTCTTTTGATAATAGAGCTTTTTTTTTCAGAAATTAAGTACCTTAGAGATGTCATAATTGAGTGATCTTTGGCTCGTTTGATTCATCTCATCGAGTCGCTGGATTCGACTATAAGCAGTTCATATTTGAATATCATTTGGTTTTAAATTAATGATTTGAAGCTTTCAAATAACTTTTGTCCTTTGATTTGGACTCATTTGGGCTCTGATTGGATTGAATTTGGGTTGTTGGGTTCATCTCATTGGCATGTTCAATTTGACTATAAACTTGCTGAAATTGGAGTTTGGATCAGATCCCAAAATTAATTTTAGAAATTTACCATTCAGATTCATGCCAGATCAAGATAATATCTTGGTGAAATATCAGCTTCAATTAAGACGACTTTCTATAATTTATATATCAAAAAATTACTTTAAGAAGCAATAAGAAAACCGTCCGAAACAAAGTCATAATCTTCTAATTTGAAGATTCAGGATTTGAGACTCAATAACATAAATGTTATATAAATAATGAGTTTCAGTAGGTGACGAGGAATATATTATTCAATTATCTCTGAAAGAAAAGCCTTAAATATATTACATGTTAATAGACTACTAAACAATGCGGTAGTTTAGGTCTATTTGGAATAATTTTTTTACTACTTTCTCCTCACTAAACAATCATATTTTTTGTATGCATGACTACTATTTTGTTGGTGCTTTCAATAATTTTTGTGCTAAAAAGTTATTTTTTCAGCAGCTTTAAAATAGTTACTTTCCTCACAACAACTTCACAGTCAACTTTATAAGAAACTGCAGCCATCTCAAACAAATTCCTAGAGTTGTCTAACATTATTTAGTTAACCCCTTCTCGTTCTATAGACAAACGATATTTACTGTGATGGGAAGTAAATTACACAATGAAATAAAAAAGAAATGAAAACAAGGGAAATAAACGACAGGTTTTAACGTGGAAAAGTCCGAAATTGCTAAAAAAACTACGGGGCCACACCACACCAAAAAGACAAGAAATTCAATACAAAAATTGAGAGAAATTATACAGATCTTTTTCTCTCTCTATTTTTTTTCTCTCTCTCTCTCTCTCTCTCTCTTCACTTCACTCTTCATTTTTTATACAGAGTAGACAAAGAGATGCACTTAAATTTCACAAAGGGATGCAAACCTTCAAGCTAATTAAACATGAAAATGTTAGAAAGAAAATTACCTAGCTTGACTCGCAGTGCCGCAGCGTCAGAGTTTTGAGTACCTAGACATTCCACTTGTTATCTCCAGCTTGACTTTTAGCTTCGTGGCCTTGACTCAAGAGTGCTACAACGTTCAGCTCTATATCCCCAAATCAAGACTACAACACCGTTGCAATGCATCCCACGACGCTATAGTACACAAATGTACATTGCTACAACGCTTTATTGTACAGTGAAGCTACTTTGTATGGTTTTATAGAAAAAAATTTCAGGTGAAGCCCTCCTGAAATTTGACCAACTAAATATAACTATAAGTCAACAATACAAACCAATTCATTGGTACAATCAGATTTCACACAAAACTAACATACTACTAGATGGAGGCTTCTATGTTTGAATGTTAATTACAAAGTTGTCAAACACCTTTTGGCCATTTTAACGCATATGATTGCTACGTATATAGATGCAACCTTCTCTTCTTATTGATTTGAACAAAATAAGCTAATATTAATTAGTATATAGTTGCATGATCAACATCTCTATGATGATTGAATTGATGAGAAAGAAATAAATAATTTGTATTTAATTCATAAAAAAATAAATGTAAAAACTCAATATTAAATGAACAAAAAATGAACACAATCCAATTTGTTTATATTTGCACATGAACAAACTCATTTGTTATCCAACAAGTACTTATTCAATTGCTTTAGGCTTCGTTTGATTTTTTAGTACTTTTGTAAAAGACAGTTTTAAAAAATATTGGTTCATAGTATTTAGTTTTCTAACGGAGAAACATATATAAAAAACTTTCTCAAAACAACTGAAAAATTAAGAAAAAAAAAGAGAGTTATTAAGAATGTGATTTGAAGAACCAAACCGTAAAGAAAAAATGAATTTGTTGTTTTAAACGGAATAAGATAAGCACAAAAAACTTCCAATCAAACGAAGCCTTAATTGGTAGCTTTTTAGTAAGTCGACGGATCATTTTAGGATTTGTTAAGAAGACTTAGGGGGAAGGCGTGAAGTTTGAGTGAAGAAGAAATATAGTTATTGATCACAACTTATTTATTATTTTATTTAAATCCAAATCTATTCAATTGCTTCTTTACTTAGATTTCTTAAATTATTTGTTAGTAACTTAATATGAAAAGCCAAATACTCTTTCAAAATTTAAGCTTTTTTGTTAGCTTGACAAAGTTCTCATTCAATTAATTTAGGCATGCAAGTACAATTATAAAAAAATTTTAAACAATCCAAATATGAATATATGATAATTCACACAAGAAGCTCATCTCGAGTTCAAGCAGATTCTCAATGAGCTCAAATTCGCCCAAAGATAATCCTTTAGTAACCGATTATGGAGTTTCAATGACTGCTAATTTCATTTTAAAATCTAGGGATAAAATCCTTAAATAATAGATAACAACATAGTTTTGATCATCAAATATGATGTTAGTTGGAAAATAACATCATTCCTTAATACATCCAATGATTCTAACCGTTTATCAAATTATTTGAAAGAATTAGAAGAAACTCTAGCTGATCACACGCTAACTCTGGAAAAATTATTAGGTCAGGTGACCTGATGTAGCTCTACGTCCGGTAACCAATAATATGTCGTCACGTGCTCTTACTCTTTACCTCGCGGCCCGACAACCTGTCTCGCACCGGAATCCGGGATTACTATGTTCGCGTATTGCTCAGTATTTGCTCGGTATTGCTAGGTATTACTCGGTATTGTTTGACAATAACGAGAAATACCGCTCTGTGAAGACCAATACCGAGCAATACCGAGTAATACCT